AAATATAAAATAAAGTACAAATCAAAAAAAATTACAAAAATCTCAGAGAAATAAACTATGTTTAAAACTATAGAAGACTGACTCTGCACTCCCTTAAAATCAAAACCTAACCTAAGCTAAGAAAATCACTTTTTAGATAAGAAAATAAATTGAAGTAAAGAGGGCGAAATCACTACTGCACCAAAAATTTGACCAATAGGATTCCATCCTTACCATGGAGAGTATCAGAGGAGAGCTAAAAGAGTAAGTAGAAAGGTTAGATGAAACATCATAATCTGAGGTAATAAATGTGATAGCTTTGGAATCAAAGGTAATGTTGAGGGACTTTTCAAAATCATGAACAAGTTTACAGTAGTTACGCCAAATATTTTGGGTGAGTTTAAAAATTAAATGCATAAATGAAGAGTAAGCAGCTAAAACTATAGGCTGAGAAGACAATTTTTGACGGAAAAATTTAAAAAGGTGAGCTGAGACTATTCCTTAAATGAGAACAAAAAATTCAGCAGTATTATAAGTACTGAGCAGCTAACAATTCAACTGATCAATTTCATAATCATATGCATTAGTAATCTCTTTCAGATAGGATTTAGACAGAATGATAATTTTTTTCATTTTGTAGTTGACAATAAAGCACATTTATATGTGGTAGAAATTTTTATCTGCAGCATCATACTATATATATAATTGTAAGACGTTATATAAAGACAGATGTCATACTTTAAGGATTTCAAATATTGGTAACATTTCAAGAAGTCGTTGATATTTCATTCTTCTAAAAAAGGAAGCAGTATATGAAGTTGTCTGTGATGCTGTATTATCTTTAAGTATAAAGGAGGTAGCAAGCCAATTGATTTTAAAGATATGTATGTATTTAGATAAGACATAAAGCCTAAATACATTAGACAGAAAGCGTTTTTGAAAGAGGGCTTTACAAAATTGTCTTATTGATATAATAATCAGAATATCATTGTAGATGTAATAGTATCTAAGGGATTGTTGGTGATGAGTTGAAGAATAGTAGTTTCAAAACAGGACTTCGCTAGAGTATCAACTTTTGTTAAAAATGTTATCAGTATGTGCTTTGACTTTGATCATATTTATAGTAAGGTTATAAGTATCTAGTATTTCAAAAAGACATAACCAATGCATATAATTATTAATTTTGATAATAGGTTGAATAGTGGAAGCCTTTGATAAGAGAAATTTGTAGCAGTTAAATTGAGAAATAGTCACAGCTGAATCAGTGAAAACAGTGACAGTACAATTTAGAGAGGCTGTAAGTAGAACAGTAAAAATAGCTGTGAATTTAGGTATTGAGGATGAAGAAAATGATAAAACAAAAGCAGAGGAGAAGGAAACTATTGGTGAATCTTAGTGTGTCTGAAGCTAAGCTAAGCCTATTCTTAGTAAAGGAAGACCCATATCTTTTAAAGAGCTATCTGTATAGAATTCTAAAACAGAAGAAAATGCAAAGAAATGAGAAAGATTTAGTAAATGAGAACTATAAGGAGAGGACAAAAATTTATCAAAAAGATTAACAAAGGTGGGCAAAAAGAAAGGTCTCAGAACTACAAATAAACTTTAGTTATTGCTTATCAAAAAACAAGTTAGAGTAATTTCGTAGAGAGCGCTATATGATAGAACACTATGTATTCAGTCACAACGGTCATTTTTGAAAGTGATTGGTATTTTGACACAAAGATAGAAGAGAGTATGAAAAAACAATTTTTATGATGCCCTCTAATTTTAATAGTAGAATTCTGGTAAAGTTAGCAAAGCCTACAGAGATCTAATACAGTAAAGTTTTCAGGCCCAATTATAGATATATAGTATATTAAATGAACGATATTATGCTCAATTCTTGTGATTCTTCCTAAGACAAAAGAATGTAAAGAGGAATATCATCCAACAGCTATATCAGTGGTTTAGATGGAAGAGGTAGGTTATTTGATAACAGGAGGGACCGTCTCAAATAAGAAAAACAGTTACACAATTTAATAAAAATTTTTTTATACATTTTACAGTACTTTTTTGAGGGATTTGCATAACCTAATTCTTCCATTAAATGTGATTAAATGCATTAAGCAAACTCGAAGCATTTTCATTGAGCTTTAATATATTTGTTTAATCTTGCTAATCACATACCCTTACATTACTATTCACCTACTTAAGATATGTTCAGGACAAAGTAATGTGTAGAATGCAAAACTACTAATTCAACCAAATTTCATTCGCTAAAGGGAGAAAAATAGAAAGAAGCTGAAAAAAACAACCTAGTGAAGATATCATAGAGGGAAGGTATTCTTTTATGTAATATATACTATATGAGCTTTGTAGAAAATTTTCTAAAAAAAGATTCTAAGCGAGTGAAAACCATGAACGAGAAGGAAGTAAATACAAAGATTGATTTCGCTAGAGCCATCAAGTCGATGGCAAAAATTCTTTACAATAGAGAACACTCTAAAAAAGAAGAAACTATATATTCATTCGACGAAATGCAAAGAATATTTGAAGAAATTGAACTGGGTTTGAAGGATTTCTTTGACCAGCTTTATTTAGCAGCTCGGCCTTCTGAATGTAACAACCAAATGATGGATCATATGAAGAAGATAATATTGTTTATCTGCTATTTACTTGCTTCGTTGAACAATACAAAAATTAATGCTTTCAAGTTTGATTTAGCATATTACCTAGATGCATCAGAAACAAGTAATGAAGGTTTGAATACTATGGTGAATTTTGGGGTGACTACAACATCAAGAGCAGTCAATCGTAAAAAAAAATAATGTCTGATACACATGATGATTATGTAGAAAATGCTCTTGAACAGTATTCAGAAAATGCTCTTATATTAAATATCGATGACTATTACAATATTCATATTCAACGGCAATTCAATACTACTGAAACTTTCCAAGTAACACACATGGCAACAATTTTGGCGAATCTATGCTTTAAACCAGTAATAACACATAATAGGGCAATCAATCCAAGGTTTTTGGACAGTGAATTGATTTCAAGACATGTCGATAGGCAGTTTATCATGAATCTCAGTATTTCTTATTACGAACGCATATAGCATTATATAGGAGAATGTTCTGATGAAGAGTTGATAGATAGAATGATAATACATAGCTATAATGATAGGATCGCAAAAAAAAATCATCATCATATACGTGATTCTATATTATTCGATTTTGTTAAAAGCAGCTTAAAAGGTACAGATAGATATATGAATGCATTCCAAATTGTATACAATCAAGAGCTGATGCAAGGTTATCTGTCCAATTATGTAATTCCCATTATTACGAATTGGCCTGGCTAGTTCTTATTTGTAAAGCCATTGTGTAGCAGGTTCTTGTTGAAAATAAAAACGTTTTAGAATTTATAATGTCTTTTATTCCTATAATGAGTTTTCTCTATGTGTCTTTGAATGCTTGAGAACTAGTATTTTTGAAGAATTTGCATTTGTTTAATAATATATACAAAGGTATATTCAGAGGGCGTAAAGAGCTTAATATGAAACCACAGTTATAGAGAATTGACTTGATGTTACATGTTGTACGTATGGCATAGTTCAATATAGCTAATACCATTTATTCAAAATTTGGCTATATATGCAAGAATATCGAATATATGTATTTAATTGATCTCTTCTCTAATTTAATTCTTCTTGTTCTTAATGTTTACGTAGTTTATCATTATGGAGGTGATTGGGCAGCATATGAAGAGGCCTGTGTAAGATGCTGAAGTGATCTTTTTCTTCAGTTTGATCGAAAGAATTATAAATAGGCACCTTTAATGTTTTTTCTGATGTTTTTTATTAGATGGAGACTGGTCATCCGATATTTAACATTATTACTAATCATCTTGCTTCTCTGAGTGATAGTCCTGTAGAAACTGCTCATAGCATTATTCGAAGACGTACAGCAAAATTTTATACAGCTCAACAATTGCAAAAGAAAGCATATTTCATCTTCTAACAATGACATAATAATTCATTTAAACAGCATTTCGTAAATTCTGTGAAGTATCCATATACACCAAAGCAGTTGCATACACTTTTCCAGAAGTGTGCTATATGGATTTTAGAGGAATTTTCAAAGATATATCAAATGTGTAATCACAATCCTTTGCTTGTCAAATCCTCATCTGATATATTAACACATATAAACTTCCTTCTTTAGGTTATAAAGTTATGGATCGATGCTTTCTAAGAGGCTTCATTACTCCTAGAAAACTAAATATATTTAGTTTATGTGATTTTGTGTATTGTGATCAGACTAACAACAATTGAATAGAAGTGTTTTAGCTTATAGGCATGGTTATCATAGCTATTGCCTTTAAAGATGTCAATTCAAGTGTTTAATATGTTTAGAATATCTTCAGAATGAAATTAAAAATAATATAAATGTATTGATTACAAGTTTGATGAAAAGTTCAGGATGATTTGAATGATGCAGAAGTAACAATAAATGATTTAATAATGGATAATTTATTAGAATCTGCCAAAAAATCATTTTTAAAATTATAAATTTACTATTTTTATATAAAATTTTTTCATTTATATATTTGTAAATTTTCTTTATTGTAATTAATTAATCATTGAAATAAAATAAACTATACAAATGATCTAAAAATGACCTAAAGATAATCTAAAATGATTTCGGAGAATTCAATTTTTAATTTAAATTTTAATTTATAATTATATTATCACGTTACTCTTATATATAACGAAATCCTATTGGTCAAATAATATGTGATAATATCGAAATTTTATGATTTGATTGGTTAATTCTGTGTGATAAAATAGAAATGTTGTGTAACCAGAACGGTCCTTGTGGCAATATCAAAAGTTATCACCTTGAAAAACTAACTATAAAAAGCTAGTTTTAGTAATCACCAATCACCAAAATAGAATATTTATAGTGGTTTTATGACATTTATTTTGCTAAAAGCAGAAATTATGATTGCCAAAATCTGCATTTTTTTCACAAACAATGTCATCAAGTAGTAAGAATAGTCGTTTTGAAGTATTCGAAGAGAAAATTAAAGAATTACAACTTTCTGAGGAAGAGCAAGCGGCATTTCGTAAAGCGAAATCACAACTACAAAATCATAGTGTGTTTTTACGGACTTTTTGTTTTTATTTTCAGTTATCCTTTAGAGGTTTAAAACTTTTAGTTTAATTTGTAGCGAGACTTGGTGCACTTGCGGGACTTTTTGTTGGTGGTTATGTTTGTATGTATAATTGTACAATATTGTTTCTTTTCAAGTTCTTATCTAATAAATTTGATTTTTAGCTAAAGTAAGAAAGTTTACTATCGGTACAAGTATAGCTATAAGTATAGGATCAATAGCTATCGGAAGTCAGATAGGATTTTTTACTGGAGCTGCTGCTGGAATAAGAACTGTTAAATCTTTACCAAATTCTCAAAGAATTTTCGAAATTGTTAGAGAAGTTCAGTAAAGTATCTTTTTTTTTAAAAAAATATAATAAAAGATTTCATGTATCCCTAATTTGAATTGGATTATTATTTAAATTAAATTTGATATTATAATAGAAATTTCAAAAAATTTCCTTCAAGAAAAGTTCGAGAAGTAGAACATGAAGATAATAATAAACCATCCACTTTCCCCGATGAATTTTCATCAGATAATCAAGATTTTAACGATATTCATGAAGGTAATCAAATAATATATGTTTTTAATCATATTTCTTTCAAAATTATATATCTATTAACAAATCTTTTTTAGGTCAACAATCTTCATGGACAAATTTAAGATCACCATCAGCTCCTTCACGGGATGATAATAATGGTAGTTCATGGGATAAAGTTAGAGCACAAAATTCAGGTTCAAGCACTTGGGATAAAATTCGTCAAAATAATAAAGTGGGACAACAACACAAACCTACTTCTGATATATATAATGATGGTAATGAAAATTTACCAAGAACAAAAGAAGACTTTGATGAATTATATAATAAAGGTAAAATTAGAACAAATCTATATGGTGATGCCGAAATAAGATATGAATAATAAATGGATATAACGTTTTATAAAATAATAATAATAATAATTATAACAATCATAATAATAATAATAAATAATTATTTATTGTCAAAAAAAAAAAATAAATAAATAAATAAAGTATTTATTTATTTGACATTATAATCATTCATTGGTTCTTGGACAATCTATCTCTTCAACTACATTCCACAATTCTCTAACCAATCTCAATTGACTTTGTTTGGAAGTTTCATCACCCTCATATGGAGAACCAGCTCTTACAGCTAAATATTTTCTTCCTAGTATATCAACAGGTTCTTCATTTGGTCCATTACCACTAACGATAAGACCACCAGCTTCTCTCAATATAACAATAGCAGCTGTTACATCCCTAAATTAATATAAATGTATAATTTATTTTATTTTTTTTTTTTTAAAAAAAAAAAGGAAAATAGAAAGAATTACAATCATTATATCAAATATACATACCACTCCCAACAACCAATTTCCCAAAATATATCGGCTTCACCTTTTACGACTTCCATAATATTCAAAGCTGCACTACCAAGACTTCTAACACCATGAACCGATCCGGAATTTTTATTACTCGAATTATCATTACCAGATATTGAAACCATATTATGTATTGATTGAACTTTTTTTCCTATTACCATGGGAGATCTATCACTACCATATTCCGTTACAATTAAACATTGTGATAAATTTGGTGGTAAAGTAAGTGGTGGATGTGGATGTGATAAAGGAAGTTTTGTATTTAAATTAAGATAAGCTCCATTTCCTTTACGTGCCGTAAATAACTATTGACACGATACAAAAAAAATTTAGTCATATTATTGGTAAAAGAATGAAAAATATGAATTTACTTTACTTGATTGAGAAACGGATTAAAAATTGCTCCAACTACGGGTTCTTTGTTTATAGTTAATCCAATGCATACCGCAACAAATGGGAATCTGACAAAAAAAAAAAAAGTTTTAAACATAATCTTTTTGACAAAGGAAAGAAAATACACATAATTTACCCATGGACAAAATTTGTCGTTCCATCTGAATATTATAAAAAGGATTTTGAAGTTAAAAAGAATTTTCGAATAGATATAACCATTATATAATTCAATTAATTCACCTATTGGATCAACAATCCAAGTCGGGTCATTAGTTAATTCATATTGAAGACCAGCTGCAGTCGTTTCTTCTCCAATAAACCTATGGTTATATTAATTAATCTCTTTTTCGATTTTTATAAGAAAAGTTCGAAATTGTAATCACCTGTGTTCAGGAAAGTTTGAAATAATCCTAGATTTAATTAATTCTTCCACCATTTTATCGGTTTCGGTTACTAAGTCAGAAGGATTACCATGTTTTTCATAAACTTTCTTTGTCTTTGAATAACGTGCTATTGACGCTTCTAAAATTATTTTTCCACATTCTTGTGCAAGTGAAGTTGCAAAGTCAAGATAAACCTCTAGGCCTTTTTTTTTTTTTTTTTTTTTGAGGAGTATGTTAAAATCAATTTAATTAAATTTAATGCCAAAATTTATGAGAATGCAATATACTTGTCATTATTTATAAAACTGCGAAATAATAAATTTCTTTTTTTTTATTTTATTTTTTATTTTTTTATTTATGTCATGATGTACAACGGATGGGTATTACACAAACCTGTCCTGTTAGCTGTACGCCTACATTAAAACCTATCATTACTAACAAAACCCCACATTAAGCAAAGTTTAAATTGGCAATAACAAGTCCTGTAAGGGAATAGGCTCCC